GAATTCATCACTGGCTTCAGGTGATAAAGGCATAGTGTAGCCTCTCATGTGTTTCATTTTTATTCGTTTGCTTTTCAGCTTCTTACTCCTCTTTTTAGGCTTATATGTGTAATAGGGACGCCATAGTTCATCAGTTTCGGGATCGTTTGCGTCATCATATGTTTCTTTTTCTCTAACTGAGGTTGTGACTTCTGCCCTCAACCGCAAACTTGGACTTCCAATACTCTCCTCTGGACGGTTACTTTGACCTATGCCCTCTGGTCTCCAGCTTTTCCTTTTCCTCTTCTTTGGAAACAGGTTAGAGCCTTTTATTTTTCGACGAACAACCGCCTCGTTGCCAATCTTCACTGTTATTTGGCAGAGGGGAAGAACTTGGTTGTCAACTGATGGCCCTGGACAGGCAGGTTTAGCAATGTATGTTTCTGTCTTTCCACCAGGCGGCTGATCTGGTGTTATGCTTTCCGGTCTTGCTTGCAGCAGCTGATTAGCCATGTCTTCAATGGTCTGCGCTGCTGCTGACAGTTCACTCAACTTGCTTAACCCTTCAAAGGAACAGACAGATGGTATATTAAGGAATGGAAGAATGTCTGTGCTGTTATCTTTGCTTTTCTCTGCTGAAGGATCTCTGTCGCATGTGGTCTCAGAGGACCCTGTGCTTTTAGGTACTGGTTTTGAAGAATCTCTAAATTTGTAGCTGAAGAGAGGTGACCCTTTGCCATTAAAACCAGACTTCTTCTTGAAATCAGTAGAGAGGTGTTTCAGGGGTTGGTCTATCTCTGATGGCATAGGAAATCCTACGTTTGGTTCACATGGTTTGTCAAAGCTGATGCGAGGAGTTTCTGATGCCATCATTTTTGGAGTGGCCATGAATGTGACTGGCATTGAAAATAACGACTGACCACTGACAACATCTGAATTAGTTGTAGGTACAGTATTGTCAAAGGGAGGGTGGGGGGAACAGCTGCCCAGTGGTGCACTGTAGGACTCATCATTGTCCTCAGTCCCCTCAGAGTACGTCCGACTGTATGACTTATAACGTTTCTTTCTAAAAGTCATTGGGAGAAGCCTGTAGAGCTTTATAGGGTAGACACTACTCTTCAGTCCACCATTTGCAGACTTTTTATTGACTGCCAGCTGTGGGTCAATGCCATGAAAGGACTTTTGGTGATTCTTGAGGATGTAATAAGTCAAGAAGGTCTCTAAGCAGAAAATGCACTGGTACCTGCGTTCCCCAGTATGCCAAATCTCATGCTTGGTTCGGTATTCAGCCAAAGCAAAGACTTTGTTGCAGTAATGGCAGGGATAGGCTCTATGCCATGAATGTACATTCTCATGTCTTTTGAGGCTGGAAAGGGTCACATAAGCCCGTTTGCATACAGAACATTTATATGTTCTTGAAGTGCCATTTGTTTTTAAGGTGCCATTAACTTGATCCTGGGACATCTCAAGAGGACAAGTTGATGTGGGGTCTAAACTTAAAGGGATATTAAGATCTGGTGGAGGTAAAGACTGTTGTGTTGTATTTGCATTATACGTACTATTGGTGTCAGGGACTCTCAAAGAGTCTTTATTATTTGTCTCTAACTCTGATGGACCTTTTAGAGATTTCACACAAACCTGCTCGTGATTACGCAATCTTTTCAGATGCATAAACTTTTTACGGCAGTACTTGCAAAACAAATGACTGACAAATCTCTTGTGTATTTGCATGTGGATGGTGAGAAGCGTCGAGTCATTAAACGTCTCGGGGCATTGCTTGCAGCTGAAGGTGGGGACATAATCTGTATTCTGAGGACTGAGGCAGGGTGGCTCAGCGTCCTGAGAGGGTGTAACATCTAGCGGTGGCAAAAGATCAAGGCTGGAATCTATCTCTGGTGCTGCATCTGAAGACAACTGAGGGGAAGATATCGGAGCAGCAGTGGCATTTTCCGCTGCAGACGTGCCAGCGATTGTGGACCCAGTTGCACCTGTTTGACTTGAGAGAGATGGAATACTGTTATGTATACGACGCTTTTTTATAGGTCCAAGTCTATGAGTAACCACAGTCTTTGCTGGAGGCACGGCAGGTATGATGGTTCCGTTATCATTCCCCTGGATAACCTCTTTAGATTCTTGCCCCTGACTGACTGCATATGAGTGCTCATTTAGCGCATGGGCAGGCTCACTCTCTACTGCTGATATGCTTGTATCTTGGGGACTGGAAGGAGGATGTCCTTCTTCAAAATTCTCAATAACTTTGTTACGCTGATTCAGTGTAGAAAATGGGTTGTGTACTGTCCCTCCCTCAGTAATGGAAAAAGCATTGGTGATCCTTGGGCCCTTTGAGCATTCTAACTCCTCCGGTTTTAGGATCTCTTTTTTCAGTGTGCATGATTCTGCCAATTTTGACTGACTGTTTGATATTTTGCAGCTGGAAGATGCTTGGCATTGCAAGAGACCTGAGCTCTTCCTTTCAGAGTCTAGCAATTTCTCCAGAAAGGGAATTCCTAAACGCTTTCCAGCTGCCACCAGTGAGTTTTTGTCTTCTGTACTGCTTGACTCCACTCTGGCATTGTATATAAAGTTTAGAATGCTAGCAAAGACCTCAGATCTCAGATCTGTTAGCTCCAGCACCTGGCTGGACGTGTAGACCTCAGGCGTTTTGAATGCATTACGAAAGTATCCACTTGTGGCAGCCAGTATGTTGCGGTGAGCACGGAATTTGACATCCTCCACAACAATTATTACATCACAGAACAGACCTTGTGATCGCTGTTCACTAAGATGACCGAGGACAGCTTGGGGATGGGAACTGTCCACCAGACCAAGAGTGCTTGGGTTCACCACAGTCATCTGCAGAGGAGAGACACAAAGTAAAACAAAATATATGAATCAGAAAATACTTTGAAATGACAGCACAAGGCCTTTGTCTATGAACAACAACTTCAAAAAAAGAGAAGAAATCACTTTCCAGGGCTTTGCTTCAGTCACTCATCATGCCACTTACATGCTGTTGAATGATTAAAATGAATTTTCTCACCCTCATGTTGTTTATACTTAATAATTATTTAAAAGACGGTCAAGAATACATTTGTGCATGCGTTGTCCCCAGAATTAGGACAAAGGTGCAATGCTTCTCACAAATCTAATCATATCAAACCACTAGATGGCAGCATGACTCAACTTGTAAGCCACTTGATTAGCGTAACAGTATAACTATAAAGCAGAATTCTAACCTTTATCCAAGCTCCCTAGAAAGCTCCTATTTATTTTTGAGCTCAAAGTTACAAAGTACATTAGCACAAAGTAAGCAAACATAGATGTATGCAAAAAAGAGCAACACAGGATATATTTAAAACACTGTATTAAATTAAATATTACTTGAATGACTGCAACCTTTATAGACATGGACTGGTAAAAGTTCCTGACAGTATGAAAACCTTGGAAAAAAATATCATGGTTTCAAAGTATTGTGATCACTACTCTTAAATAAGTTCTTTTTAAATGTCTGGGGGAAAAAACAACTACTTTTTTCCCCTATTGAACAAAATACTGCACTGTTCAAGTCTATAGCCTGCTTGGATGTTGTGCATAAGCGGTTGGCTTTTTAAATGTCTGCTGAATTGTGGGCTGACCAGTAGCTTTTGATGTTGAGGATCCTTTGCTGCTAAATAAATTCTTTGACATCATGAAATCTTTGACAACATGTTAAAAAAATGATTAAAACACTTACATGTACCCTAGGAAAGGTATAACACATTTTTTTGACCTTTCCAAATCATTGTAAACCCTAAAACCCGTTGTTGTCCCATGCCTAAACCTTTATGTAGATTTTTTTTTCTGCACAAATATGTCTCTATCCTATATGCTGCTCATTCTGCTGTTTATCTGTTTGCTTACCTTGTACTCTGCGATCTTAAGCACAAGAACAAATGAGAGGTTGTAAGCTTGTGTTTTCCAGTACGAGCACAAGAAAAGTGAAAGTGCATATACTCGGTCACCAAGAAAAAAAGCTCTGAAATTTGTTTGTATTGACTTTGACAATACAGTAGATGTCCTGCCATACAGTATCTTCTGTATCTACTTCTGATAAGTAATTTTGACCTTTTTGACTTGTAATAAATGGTCAATATTTAATAAATATGTCCATATGATAGAATAATCCGTGATGACTATCAAACAATATAAGCGGAAAATCTGACCTATGCATATCCATCTACATGTGTTTATTTCTAAGGGCAACTTGATTTACCGTATAATGAATTAAATTATAATGAAGTTAATTTAAATTTGGAGTAATTGCTCATCCTTCTGCTTTTCATATCAAAGCATGTGTCAAAAACAACAAACAACGACTACTGGAACAAGTAAGCAAGAATCTATGACGGAGAACGTGTTGTTGACTACAAAACTTCTGTACAGTAAAATATATTACTCAAAATTAACTTATAATTAATGAATTGCTGACCGGGATAAATCTTACAAATGGGCAACATAGGCTGGAACCCTGGATTAAAGGTGCAATAAGCAATATTTGAAAAACAAAAATTGACCACAGTGTCAGACTCAGTCCCAAAACACTTGCAGCCTATCAGCAGCAAGGGGTGTGCACAGTAACCATAGCAGAGATATAAAAAGTGGTGAGGTCCTGTTGGTTTTTAAACATGTTTGTTTCAAGTAGTACTCGCTGCAGAGCTTCTACACCTCTATAGGTAAAGCCACTGGGGTTTGGGGTTAGGGTCGGGATAGGTGTATGCATTAAAACAACTTATGGCAGCTGGAGCTGGAGGTTGACTAAACCCAAATGGCTCTGCAACAAGCATGCTCTTGTTTGTTTTGGGACTTTCACATTTAGAAGACAAGAGAAAACTCACAAGGGTGCATTCACACTAGGCTATCTGTTTGACTAGTGTAAGTACTCCGAATTGGGCCCAGGCACGGTTCAGTTGGCTTGGTTGGAAGAGGTGTACCAAATCACTGTTCAGGTGGGCTCTAAGCCCAAAACTAAAGACGAGACAACACTTTAAGGGACTTAAGGAACTGTTTCATATGGATTTACTAAACATTCTTACTATTCATTGAGCACAAACTGTCATAGTTTATTAAAGACGCGAACCCCTCCCTGCACATCAGCTGTCACCATCACCAAACCTCCTAATACGTGCAGCACGATGACTTTTACGCCCTATTCACACGGGGCGTCAGCGTCAACGCTTCCCATTCACTTTGAATGGGTGACGTCAGGCGTTGCCGAACTGCATTGTGGATCCGTTGGCGCCGCTTCAGAAGCGTTGCTCGCTGCAGAAGTTGGGACTAGCTCAACTTTTCAGGTGCCAACGGAACCGTCAGCCAATCAGATCGCTGTATGCAAATACACCAGCTCAGACAGTGGCCTATTGCTGACTGACTTTCATTGGCTGACGCTTTTATGACGATCGCTTCAGCCCCAACTTCAGACACGCCTTCAGTCAAGCGTTGACGCTGAAGCCTCGTGTGAATAGGGCGTTATGATACTTTATGAGAGTCAAAAGTTGTGGATCCGTTCAGCAAAATATTATACTGCATGTCACGGCATATTAAATGATAAAAAATAATACAAAAGCATATAACTAAAGCAATCTCTACTGTGCTGAGCAGGAGCACTTTTCTTGCTGTTAAACTGAACAGTCGTATCATTGATGATGTAAGCGTGCTCCGGCTTGCAAAGCAAAGTGCAGGCAAAGTGTGAGTGCAGGCCATCGGGGGAGAGAGGAGGGGGGCAAGTGTGCTTCGGCAGAGTTCAAGGCAACTGTAGCTAGTAAGCATGGGCCAGTAAACAATTCTGACGGTATGATAATCTTGGATAAAAATATCCCGGTTTCATGGTTTTACGGTATTGTGATTACTGCGCTAAAATATGTTCTTTTTAAATGTCTGGAAAAAAACTAAAACTTTTTTCCCCCTTTAAACACAGTATATTTTATTTTGAGAAATATTTTATCTTTGTTGGAGCAGTAAACATTTCAGGCTCAATGATTCAAATGAATCATTGACTTCTGCTGTCTTCATTAGTTTAAAAAATACAGATTTAATTACAATTTAAAACAGCATTTATGGATATCTTTTCATCTGGACATACTGCTGTCCTAAAAAAAAAAATTTCAAATCTTACACATACCTTAGGAACGGTGTAGCAGAAAATTTTGGCAGTATTAAAACCTTAACTTTTCCAAACCGCAGTAAACCTTTAAACCGGTTATGGTCCCATGCCTAGAACCTAGTGTAAGTACATTATCATTTCAGATGACAAATATTTGGTCCCACTTTATATTAAGTGTCCTTATCTACTATGTACTTACATCAAAAAAAATAAATACAATGTACTTACTGTGTTTATAATGTATTTGAGAACACTTGTGGTGCTTTTGAGTTGGGATAGAGGTTGGGTTATGGGCAGGTTTGGTAGCATGGGTAGGTTTAAGGGTGGGTTAAGGTGTAAGGGATGGTCAACAGTGTATTTACAAATGTAATTACAAAAGTTAATTACAGATGTAATTACATACATGTATTTAATCAAGCATAAGTAAAAACATGTATTTACACAATAAGTACATTGTAACAAACTATTAATTCCTGTGTAAGTATATATTAGTTAAGGCCACTTAATATAAAGTGGGACCAAATATTTTAAAAACATTTTCCATAATGATGAAAAATTAGGTCAGTATGACGAGATTAGGTGTTATATGGCTTTTTGAATGCTTTCAACCACAGAACATCCATTTACACCCAAATCAATCTGGTCTTCTGCATTTTCAAATACTTCTTAATGTGGTCAAAAGCAGACAGTTGCTTTTGCACCTGTATTTTACACCTGTATTTGGCATTGTCCTGTTGCAAACAAAAGATTTTTGACAGACAAATCTGTGGAAACCAAAAACTTTTGTTTTATTTAACAACAGCTGACTTATATAAATTACATCCAATAAGATCTGATGTAAGATCTTGCCAGGTGCACTTGAAGACAACAACAGACCTGGCAAACACAGGCGCAATACAGTACACGCAAGGATTAATGAGGGAGCAAAACACAGCTGAACACAATTAGGTCATGGGAAGGAAACATCTGACAGAGACAACAGATGCACAACAAACACGTAACTTCAAAATAAAGTACACAACAATCCCCCAGTATATTACACATATGATGTATTAACACTGTGGTTGAGCATTTAGAGAACAGCAATGATTGTTCTCTGAATAAAGATAGATTACTAAACATAAAGATAGGAATATAGAAAAAATCTTGTGGAAGAAACTGAAGAGAGTTGGGAAGTCATGGAAGAAAGTGAAGACCGGGGCGGGGCAGGGATGCGTGTGAGGAGGGGGATCGTAAAATGATCAGATTTCAGAGGTTATGAATTAAGCCCTGCTTTCCCCCAAAAGAACTATATAAAATTATCTGTTTTTTTTGTTGTTGTTGTTGTTTTTACATATACCGAAGGAACGGTATAACAGAGACTTTTCCAAACTGCAGTAAACCTTGAAATCGTTTATCATCCCATGCCTACTCACAGTACATCACTAGTCTCCAACAGTACATCAATAGTTTCTTACAGGACATCACTTTGTTGTTGTGTTGGATCACTTCCCTGACCAAAAAGCTGTGAGTGAACACACCAAAGGGATGAAAGCCAACTGAAACGAGAGCCGCGTTCTGCATCTGTGCAAAAGCATGTGTTCTTCCACTCATCGGGGGTCTGTAGTCTGTTTTCTCACCAAGCAAAAAAACTTGCACAGACAAAGTGTTAACCGAGCAGCATTTAGTACCAATTTCATAGTAATTGTTAGGAAGGGACATCACTAGTCTTTCT